GGTATGATGAGAGAGGAGCTGGGGCTGCCTTGGTATCCCCGCCAGTGCTCCTGCTGATGCTGCACTGGGAAGAGCATGGTGAACCTGATTGCTCCTGCAATATCTTGCCTTGCCACGAGCTCAGACCGGGCCCTTGGCAGGTCATTTCATCTCTCTGTGATTAATGTTCCCTGTCTAGAACCGGAGTAATAATACAGGCTTCATCTGTCGGGACCGCGTGCTCCTGGGGTAGGGATGGCCCTGCTGGCTGTGGGTCTGGACAGGGTCCAGGAGGATGTGACTGAGGTCTATTGCGATGGATGTCACTGCTAATTAGGGTGGTGAGATTAGCTGCTATATTTTGCAGAAGCACAGGAAAGAATGCCAAAATCGTGTTTCCCAAATGGAAAAGGGCAATGCTAGGGTACGAGCAAGTTCTTTTGAAGCTTTGAACATGAATCACAGTGTCAAGTAAAAAATAATTAAACTTATTTTTTTTTTAAATGTACTTCAAAGTGTCTTTTAAGCTTCCCATTAATTCGAAGTTCTTTCTCTCAGCACTAAATAAATCTCTTAGTTCAAAAGCACAAGTGCTAATTGGTTTCTCTGAGTATGCCTGTCTGCTTGATCAATAGGGGAAGTAGTTTTTGTTAAATATTTGCACATATAGTCACAGATTGTATTGCTCGGGGAGATGGTAAATGTTTCTCAAAAGGAGACTTGTAGAATGAAGATTCCAATAATTTTCTTGTGGCCTTTATGTCAGAGCTAATAACGCTTCCTCCCTCCATCCTTTTGCAGAGAGCAAAGCAATTTTCCCTCTCGCGCTCCCCAGCGCAGCCTGCCGGTGTTGAGACAAGCGGTCTGTTCAGCTGGCTGTGTAACACCCTTGCCTCAAACTCAAGCTGCCGTGAGCCGAGTTTTACAGTTTCTGCCTTGAGCAGAGAGCGGCTGTGACCCACGCTGCCTCGCAGTCCGTTTCGGGAAGTACCCGGGACGTTGTGAGGGATGAGCTGGGTTTGGATACGCAGCCAGCTGTTGGAGAGGAATGGGGCTTTCAGCCTCCCCAAGTGAACGTGCACGGCCTTGGCGATTTCCTCTCTGTCTCTCTCAATTAATTGCACTTTTACTGTTTCCATGTGCCTTCAGAGTGCCGTGTACTTCCAACTTTGCAGCATAGTTTCTGTGCCTCACTAACTACAATCAGTTATTTATGCTAACGGAGTTGGGTCCCTCTTTTCCCCCATTACCTCCTTGATTTGTATGTGCTCTCCCTCTGGCCTGTCTGAGCTGACCTCTAGAGAAAACACCAGGAGCCTTCTTGTCCCACTGTGGAGATTCCTCTGTGAGTGTCCCTGTCCCTTTGTCTCTCATCCTGAGCATCCCAAGGAGGCAGGGCTCTGCTTTCAGAGTCCACCTTTGAGACCTGGAGCCCCACCGTGCCAGTCTTGGAAGGCCAAATCCCAACGTCCCTGTTCAAAGCCCAATCCTCGAAAACTGCTTTTAATGCAAATAATCTCATGGTTACAGCCAAATGGATGAAGGAGGGTGTTTAGAAGGGGTCAAAAAAGATGTAAGGTGCCCAGTTGCTACCATGCCTTGCACATAGTTCTCTCCGGAGCAGCTGTGCATCATCCACATGGTCCTTAGATTGGGCTGTTTGTGGACCAGTTTCTCATACCTGTTCCTGATGGTGTGCAGCACTGGGCAGTGCAGCATCCCAGGGTCCATTCTTTTTTGACAAAATCTCTGAGGAACATGATGCCTGATAGAAGAGAGAGAGGTGTCCTTCTCACCAAGCCCACTCTGTGCCCCCAGATTAGGCCACGAGGCTGAGGGCTGTAAGGAATGGAGCTGGCTTTGAGGTGGCCTTTGGCTGGAGAAGAGCCCATGGCCACTTCCTCAGAGCTTTCTGCATGCCGAGGACCTGCTGGGCTGCAGTGCCTTGGTGGTGCAGAAACATGCTCCGGTCAGCTTGCCAGCTTGGTTCTTGCCAACCATGCCACCAGTGACTTACCTATTTGCAAGACTCAGACATTTACCCCTGGAAAGACAGAGCCTGTGGTTTTTGCAGAGTGGGCTACTGAGGCCCTTTTGAGGACCAAAGCTCAGTTTTTTTAAGGCAGTTTCAGATCTATCTCTTTAACGATGCAGATAGGCAGCTCTAAGATGTGCCCATGGTGCCAGGGAAAGGCGTAGGGTCTTTTGAAGAGCAGCAGATGCCTCTCTGCATCTTTCAGCATCTAAGTGTCTCAGGAGAGAAGAGACTTTGGCAAAGTTTGCATGGAAAGCCTATGGCAGGGTGGAAGATAGAGCTTGGCTTCTCCCAGATCCCCAGATGGGGTGAGCTTGCTTCTCCTCATGCATCCAGTTAGTCACCTTGCCCCAGGAAAGTGTCAGTGGGATTTCTTCAAGGTCAGAAAAGCCTCCCATGATAAAAGCACCCATTGAGGAGGAATTTGTTTTTTTTTTCTGGACACTGTGAGGTATCTGCGGGTTACAGTTGCACACTATCCATTGCACAGAGTCACACCTTGAGGCACAGTCACGCGCTCGACTATAGCCCAAGGAGACCCCAGGGCCAGCCAGTGGCCATCCCCACCCCAGCGTGTGTCTGAGGGCACCGGTCCTAATTATGAGTGTCATTGCTTCTGCAGCTCTTGCAGCCTCAAGTTAGGATGTGGACCGAATGTTTGTGGAGGTAGACATGATTATCTCCAATCATGGGCATTAATGATGGTTATTAGAATGACAGCTATTGTGGGAAGGGCGTGTAATTATGTTGATTCTTCCTTTTATTGTACATATAATAATAAGCTGTTTTATCTGAGAGTACAGGGGAGCTGGGGGAAGATGGGGCATTTATTTCATCAGGGATTTTTTCTGACTGCATGTTAGGCTAAATCATGAAATCTTGTTCAATCTTTCTGGAGTCAGAAGGCTCCCTCAGTTTAGTGTCAAGGAGTGAGGGTCCTTATCCTACCTAACTCTCAGGAGCACCCACACAGGGAATGGGCCCCCAGTGTGATAGGTGCTGTTGAAACTCTGGCCACTTTGCAGAAAAATGCAGAGCATTCATCTAATTCCTTAATTTTCACAAAAAAAAAAAAAAAAAGTAATTGATGGGTTTGTGCTGACTGCAGTCTAACTTACTGAGAGGACCCCAGGGCTATCTCATAAAAAAGAAGTCACAGTGAGCGATAGATCACTGAGATGGCTGGAGCTAGCCTGACATTTTAAGACTTAATGGGTTAATAAAGTGCGTGTTTTAGGTGTCTGTCACTAAGTAGAGTTTGTCCATTCCTTGCACACACTCATACCTTGACGGCAGTACCTTTGACCTGCCATGCACTGCCCCTGCCTTCTTTGTCTGCTCCGTCCATCTGCCTCGGCTCAGGTTGCACTCAATGTTTATCCCCCGTAATCCAATTTAAGTTGCTGTAGAAAGCAATGGGGATTTACAGAAAGAAAGAAAAATCTCACTGGGTTTGCAGAGCAGAAAAGACAGACTTCTTTTTTCTTCTTTTTCTTTAGGATAACCGCCTCTTCTCATCTCTTTTATTTTTACCGTGCATTAACAATCTGCCCTCCACTCTGTTTTTGAGCCTAGTGCAGTGGGATCCTGTCCTTAGTATTAGGGGTTTGTAGTAGGGACAGGCTTTACAAAGGCTGTGCTGTGGTTGGTGTTTGCCAAGAGAAATTGCCTGTGTGCATCCCAGTTCTACAAGCAGCCCTGGGGTAGGTCCCTCTAAGCCCATGAGCGAGGGGAGAAGCTGTTACCACAAGTTTGAGCAGCTGGAAATGTCCACCCACCAATGGGCTGTTGCACAAGAGAACTGTTAAAAAGGCTTTCCCAGTATTCAGATGAAATGATAGTTTTCTTACTCTGTTGGAATTTATTCTCCATTGTTCTTTAAAAAAAAAAAATCACCTCCATCCCTGCATTTACACCCTTCAGATAGATATTTATTTGACTCCTGTTGGTTGCTTTTTGTCTTTCATGTCAGCTTGTATTTTGGGCTAATCTTTAAACAATAGCAAACTGTCATCTTCTGTAGCAGCTAATCATGGCTGTGTGGCAAATTATACCCTAAAAAGGTGTGCTGGACCAAGTGAAGCGTAACGTGCCAAAGATGTAGTGTTTAAATGTTCTGTTGGTAAAAGAAATAAATTAGGATGTATCTGTAGGACGGGAAGCAAGGGTTTGCCTATTGTTGGTACAAATTCTGCAATAACTTATCTCTCGTGGACATCGTTTAGGGTAATTGCTTTGTAAGAAACCTTTTGTGTCGCTAAGCCAGAATATTGTGCGTTTGTATTTCGGTGCTTAACTTGCTCTTCATTAAGGACTGAACAGCAGCATCTTTTGCCTCTTACGGCCTGAGAGAGACCGAAGCGACAGAAGGGCATGGTGTTATGTGCAAGAGGAGAAGTGTTGCAAAGATGCTGGTAGCAATATGGTCTGAATTGGGAGCTGCTGCTCCCCATCTTCACCCCCTCTGGCTGCAAAGGTCTCTGGGGCACAACGCAGCCCCCTCTCCGCCTGGTTACCTGGGGGGAGAGGAGCGGATTGTTTGAACTGGTGTAAACTTCTGCTCTTGGGGTGGGAATGGCTGATGCCCCTGTGCTTGTGCAAGTATTGTTGCCTACTGCTGCACCCTTGCAAAGGGAGGTGAAGAGGCAATCTGCAGGGAGGGTGTGAATGGGAGCTGGGGTTTGGTGAGCCGCGGGCGGGGTGTGCCTGCTTGTCCCCTTCCCTGGAGTCTCCAAAGGCAGCCTCGAAGGTCTGTGCCTGTGGTTATGCCTGTGGAAATTGTGCCCCAAGATTTTGAAGAGTAAAGCCTTGGGGGGCAAAACATGCGCAAGGGTTTAATGTTTCTCTAAAACGCACGCACCCTGCAGTCCTATTGTAGCCCGCTCCATCCCAAACGTTTTCATCATCCCGTTAGGTGCCGTAGCAGTTGGCTCTTGCTGCTTCTTGTGGACACACTGCTGACTCTGTCCTTCTCTCTTCATTTTAGATTTTGGCCATTCCTCCGAGCTGGCATTCGTTGTGGAGCCTAGCGATGACATAGCTGTGCAGGAGCAACCCTTGATCCTCTACTGCCAGGTGGAGGGCATCCAGCCCATCACCATCACATGGCGGAAGAATGGCGTGATGATCGTGGACAGTGAGAATGCCTTTATGTTGGCCAACGGGTCGCTCTACGTCTCCCGCTTCCAGAGGGTCCGGGGAGATGGGTCCTCGGATGAAGGCGAGTACGATTGCACGGCACAAAACCACTACGGGCTGGTGGTGAGCCGGAAGGCGAAGATTCAGGCGGCGAGTAAGTACGGGCATAGTCCCACCAAAACCTCGTGGGACGATCCTGCAAGGGGCACTGGCTTTGCTGGGACAAGGAGGGCAGCATGGTGGGTGCTGGGTGTTGAGGGAGGGAGGATTAAAGAGGGGAAAGAGTGTAAAGAACCTGGAGCTGGTGTGGGGATCTGGCTGGCAGTTAATCTGTGTAGCTGTCCAGGTGTGAAAGAAGAGCTAATCAGCCTTCTCAGAGAGAAAACGAAAAGCTACCTTCTAGCAGTAAATTCCCAGTCTTGGAGGGGTAAGTTACATTAAAATCATGCAGTGAAGTAATCTATGGTTCGTGTATCTCCTGTGGTGGGTTTGGAAGCCCCTTTGTTGTGCGGCACGGCTGGGCTCTGCTTGGCAGGCAGCACTTTCCAAACCATAGGCAAAGACCTTCTGAAGGTCACGGTTTCTTTCATTTTGTTATTTAAGGCAGGCAGTGTGGAGGCAGCAAGGTCTTATTTACTACCTGGCATGGCAGTGCCTTTGGGGGCAAGGCTAACAACACCAGACAGATTGTCTGGTGGGGGAGCCCAGAGGAGGAGAGAGATGAAAATGTCAGCGAGGGAATGAAAGTTAAAGATGGGGGAGGAAGAATTACAGGGCAGGCTGTGATTCCAGCCCTGCACAGTACCCAGTTTAGCCTGTTGCATCGCCATGGCCAGAGCAGGGGGCCCTGTCGGGTCTCCTGCCACGCAGGCTGCTGGCTTCCCCCTTGCTGGCTCTGGTTGCTGGTTTATGTTTGTCCCGGGGCTGATGGCAGAGCCGAGGTGTCCTGGTGGTTTCTGTCCCTGTTGTGTTGGTGGCCAGCTCTGCCCACAGACTGTGGGCTCTGGGAGTGCCGCTGCTAATCCTTTTTTGAATTCAAACAGAAATCACCTCTGGGTGTAATTTAAATATGGGTGTGAGGACAGGTGTCCGGTACAGCCCCGGGACCTGGCCGAATGCTGGTTTGCTAAATAAGTTCTACTGAAGCGTTCTCTAACTTCTCTGGGAGATAGCTACCACTCTTCTTTCTGTGCAAGCCACTTAACTGCTGCTTCTATTGCGTTTGCAAATTGCCCTGTGATTTTTTTGGGGCAAAGCCGGAAAAGTCTATGGCAAAGTCTGGGGCTGAGGTCCTCTGGCTGTGTTCTCCAAACTGGGGGGCCTTTCGGAGCGCTGCCGCCCGCTCCCCGCAGCGCCAGAGCCGGCTGGCAGCCCACCAAGGGAACACTCCAGCCCTTGTGTATAACAATTCCCGAGTGCATGAAGTGGCCATCTGCAAACCTAGCTTTTCAGTAGTGTAAGAAGTGACATTGTCCAGGAGCCAAGGGCTTTGGGTCCGTGCCAGATTAGCAGCTGGATCTCAAACTTGTCAGTCTTGTGGTGCTAAACCTTGGAGCACTTTTGGTGAACGGCTCTGGCATTTATGAGCTGGGAGCTGGCTGACGCACAAGCACAATGTCAAACTTCTCGGACCTATAAACAGGAGACATGAGAGCCAGAGGAATTACCTTTGGGATGGTGGATTGTCAATAAACACTGTTATCTCACCTCCTGCATCAATATGTATGTGATGTGCTGTGTGTCCCTGAATAGCATTTCCTTTTGTAGCCATAGTTTTGCATGAATCAAAATGAAAAAGGGTTTGTGTTGAAAATGCTCTGGACTCTCTTCTGGCTTCAGGCTTGGTTTCTTGCCAGCCCTCAGAAGAGGTCTGGGCAAAGCCAACACAAAACAGGGGGCACCTGGCCTCGATGCCACAGGTGCCTGTGGATAATGGGAGTAAAACAGGATGTCGTGTGCAAATGTAAGCTGCTGCTCAGGGCAAGCTCCCCTGCTGTGCCTGAACCACAGGAGCATGCACTTGCGCTGAGAACTCGGTTTAAACGTAGGTGAAATCTCCTAAGAATGAATCACTGTTGTACCTTCAAGCCCCTATGTCTCAGGGTGTTTACACACAGGGAGTAGAGATTTTTCTTACCCCAAGTCTCAGTGAGCAAGTCAAACAAAGAGGGGAGGGTAATTATCCCTATTTTAGAGGTGACAGGACCATTGCATCGAAGAAATGGGTGCTGGCTGCCTGGAAGGAAAAAAAATATGAAGCGCTAAGCAGACCTTTGTGGAGCAGAGTAAATACTGCCAGTGGGTAAAACCTCATCCCAGTGCTGATCTCTTCTTCCCTCTGAGCCTGACATCTGAACACAAAAGCAAAGGAGAAATAAAAACCTTTCACAAACAAAAATCTTGAAAGTTGATCAAGGCCGTGCTACTGAGGAATAAAAGGGATCTGACAGACCGGAGCCCCTTGAGAGTTCTGCTGCACTTTTCGCTGTCTTCAAAGGCAGACTGTTAGTCTCATATCACCGTTACAGACCCTGGCTTTGTATTATTGCTTGGAATATAATCTTCTTGGCTCGGAGGAATGTACATATTTGCATTCAGGAAATGTGGGCTGGATATCATATTTTTATGTTTCAAATTTACTTCAACACTTGGCATTGAGTAAAATTTAACTGGAAGAATATGCTGCTCTCCACTGCTGCGCGTGCGGCCCCGACGGGCTTGAGGTGCATGCAGTTTCCCCATGGAGCGGGCACTTCTTAAAACCTTCCTCCTAAGAACTGACTTATTAAATTTCTTTAACTAAAATTCCAGAGAATTTCTGTATGTCGTCATTATTAACCGAAGATACTCAACAGAGGGAAGTGGACCTTGGCTGGTTTGTGGATTGGCAGGTCAGGTACTAAACACATTGATAATATTTTTGTAATGTAACCTTCTTTTGAGAAAGTACAAGTGTGCAGGAAGCCTACACATGACTGAATCGAGCGGAGGCCCTTGGTATTTCCACCCTCTGCTTAACACACTGGTTGGAATTTTTTCAGTTGCTGTTTCTGCGTCTGTTGAAACCCTGGTGTGTTAGTTTAAAAGGTTGTGGAATGCAACATGTTTTTATAATCTGATCAGGTTATTGAATACAGATCTTTTCTTTCTCCTAATGACAGTTTCATAATTTTGCATGACTCTGAGCTGTCTTAATTAAAATCAGTTTTGTAGGCAGTGTTCTCTGGAGGCACTGCTTGGCTGTGTCTTTGTGGGCCTCTGAGGAGCTGTATTTCCCTTGTGCATGTCAGAAGCTGATGCATGCCTGCTGTCTGTGGATGAAGATACTCTCTGAGCAGTAGGAACAGCTAGAGTCCGCTCCTTTGGACAGTGAGCTCCCCAAAACACAGCCGTTTGTCTTCTCATCACCACTCTTTGCTTAACTTGGCCTTACTTGACTCTGATCGTGTTGTCTCAAGGTATTTCCAGCCCTTTTTGCTGATGCTGTAATTTGATGGAGCTGGCTCCACATCATCATAAATCACGGCCCAGCTGGTGGAGTAAGACCCATTGATTATATCACTCAATAACAAGCAGTTACCACTAATTGGAAATCACCATCAAACTGGGTATCGGATCAGGCTCTGCACACATCCAGCCCGAGAGTAGCAGTTTTCCATGTTTGTCCTGGTGCTATAAAAAAAGGGAAGAGGGAAAGTAAGTCAGTCGTGCAACTTAGAGCCAAAGAGGCTTTTTGAAGTTTGGTGAAAGGAACCTGCCCAGTATTTGAAGTACTGTGGAACCTGAGAATAACTCTGGAGAGACCTGAGCTTGTGAAGACTTTCCTCGTCATGTCTTGCTGTGGAGGGACTGTTTCGTAGCCAAGCGTAGCAGCACACATCCTTGTGCCCTTCTCTGCTCCCCTACCCCCTTCCCTTCTGCGTCCTGCCCAAATCCCTCTCCTCCATCCCACTCTGCCTGCCCATCTGTGGCACTTACCCTGTTGTCAGGAAGGCAGGATTGCTGGCTGGGCAAGGCAGATGTAATGTCTCTTCTCTACATTGATCCCTGCAGACAGCAAGAGCAGCATCTCTCACCCAGCCTGAGGCCAAGCATGCTCTCCACGCAAACACACTGGCTGACGCGACCTCCAGGCCAAGGGTCTCAAGGTCATCTGCAAAAAATAAAAAGGGGGGAGGTCTGGTGCATATGCATGCTTGCAAGTTGCTTTCCCTGCCACACTGTGTGGCTAGGGCAGGAGGTTGTGAATTGCAGGATTTTTAAAGCAGCATAGATCTTCCCATCGTTTCAGCTCCTCTGCACAGAATATATTCAGGGTTTAACCTGCAGCCCCCTTTCCAGGCTCTGGGGTGGTGGGAAGAGCTGCTGAGCCCAAATAATGGCAGCATTTATAAGAGTGTAGAGACAAGAAGGAAGTCTAAAAGGATTAGGGAGAGACAAAGGGGGCTGATTATTTTATGGGTCACAATACAAGGCATTAGAGTGAGATCACAAAGGGATGTAATTACAAAAGAAGGCCATACTGGGGGGATCAAACCAGGATTAGAGTGGGAAATGTTTTTACACAGTTTTGTTCCACTCATTATGAAGTTAGCATTTTAAATTAAGGTTTAAATAAGGTGGCACCAAAGTTGTCACCAAGGTATTTCCTGGGCAGTGCCACTGTTTGGATGCAGATTGCGAGTCTCAGCTCAAAACATCGAGGCAGACCTTAAACACGTGGGTTTGCTGTTGGTTTTTCTTGTGCGTGTACAGTATCCATATTGTCAGCAAAGCCCTACCTATAGCTTGTGCTTAGATCAAGTGAACCCGTTTCCACAGTTGGAAGCAGGATACTTTTGTGATGGCACGTTTTAGTGGCGTGAAACACGTGCTGGAAGTAAAGGTATGCTTTTGAAGCAGGTGCCCTGGTGTCAGTTTGCGGCTCTGGAGACATTGGTTGTGTTACTCACAGGAACTTTTGGCTAACGGTTGCTTGCATTTTATTGCAATTTAGCCCCTGGTGTTGCATGCCAAGTTTCCTCCATCCATGAATTAAATTTATTTATTTATTTTTTTCAGTTGTAGCTCTGCTTGCATTTAATGCCCTTTCTTCTCAGATGCATAGTAGAAGGGCTTAGCCCTGCTGCCGGTGATGTTTCTTTATTGTCTGTG